AGCATGGCGCGATAGGAGGATAGCAGGCAGCTGGATGCCCTCATATCGCGCTATACTCTACCAGCAGTCTGCTACGCTCCTATCTCCCCATACTGTCTTCTGGAGGCGGGTAGACGCTGGCAGATGCTATTAGGTTGTTCGAAAAGTCCTGCGACACTTTGATTGAATTGTTCTAGAAAAAGACCAAAAATCATTTTGGATGTTTTTATCCCTGATTAGTGGAGACTGTCCTCTGGGGTTTCTGCACATGGGTATATCATGACTTTGTGGAAGTTTTCAAAGCTTAAAAGTCCCTCAGAGATCGAGGTACTTTTCGACCTATCCCATGAGTTCCTGTAGGGCCACTCCGCCGTAGTCGAGGAAGCTAACACTTACGTTGTCTTGAGGAAGGATCGCTTGCCATGGCAGAGGGTAGCTTTTGCATCAGCGCTTCCAGGCTGGACTTATTTAACTCGTAGTTAGGCAATGTATAGGTCGCCCACCAGCACAGAATGACGGCCCTTTACTCAAGCTTCTTGAGGCGCAGCCGAAGGTAACCACCAGTAAGTTGGCAACCTCTCTAGGCTCCACCTGACTGACAACTGCCATGCTTCTCCGCAATCTCGGTTATCGGAAATTTTTGTGAAGGATGCCTCATGAGTTGGACCCGTCTGACAAGTCATACCGAATGCGACCGTACCCAGGTTATTTAACAAAGTTAGCAGCCTCTAATTACCACCTCCTTTGGTCCCTATCGCATCCTTTAAAAAGCAAAAATTCCGAAAATCGACCTCAACTCGAGAATGAGGTCCACCTCTTCTTTTTATCATAGTTGCCGTAGTTCTATGAGAATGGAAATGAGAAGCTGTGCAAAAGAAGGGCACTAGTCCTAGTCATCAACTGCGGTTACCTTGTAGATTGGAGATGTCTTTTAGTGACGGAAAATTTAGTCCGAAAAATTTGGTCAAAGTGTCGCATTACTTTTCGAACAACCTAATAAATCGATACCTTTACTTCCCTAGCCCTGAGACGCTTGTAGACGGGAAGACGGTGGCAGACAGGGGAAGACTCTAGATCTATCTCCATAGATTCCCAGTCACCGACGCTGCCAGACGCTCGGAACGTTGGTGGACGCTGCCGCAAACTATGAACGCAGCCTAACTGTGATATTTTCGGATTTCAGTGGGCACGAGGCCTAGTGGCATACATGAGGAGAAACTAGGGAAGCGGCCGCTTCAGGGCTGCTGGAGTATCCAGCCGACGATCTGATGACCGACCATTTGTTGAACCGAAAGCGCACCAATTCAACAATCTTAGGCGCAGTACGAGTTGGTGGGTGCCTTTCGCTGGTTCCTGCTGGTCACTATCAACACCTCCTGCGCAGACCTATAAATTCCTGTGAAGCTATACAATAGCAATTGAATTTGGCAAGGATCTATAGGCCCTATCAGCGTATGACGTGTAACTGTATAGGAAGTAGCAAAAGGACTAGCATAAACTGCAACAATGCCCATCTCAACCGAAATGGGCTTAACTTTTATTTTTGTATTTGAACACCATTCTATTATTCGCCGTCGAAATCTTGCAGATTCTCCAAACCAGTTCTGCAGGAGTGCAATAAAATTAGCGATAAATGGTCAACAAGCAAGGATGTCATGAAGAAGAAAATGAACCCGCGGTCATTTCCGCCGACCGATTACAACAGGCAGGGCACACGGGTAATGATGTTCTCCAAACGCACCCCCATAGAACAGGTTCTTTGTAAAGTAGCTCCTGCCTTAGTCCCACGGGTGTCATTCGATACATATAGCAAGAACTAAAGTGGAAATAATTTAAATTATGAGTCAGGTAACTAAACTCTAGGACCCGCTAATAAGTAGAAGAATGTACGACCCTTATCCCCCCCCTCGTCCTAATCCTCCTCCACCGCACGGACATCATTTGAGTCACAGTCCAGTCACAGCCACAACCATGACCCTTGCAAAGGATGATGGCCTGAAGAGCAACGTGCCCGGCCATTTCCACCAATGATGTCATTTTGAAGAAGCTGCAATTGGTGGAAAAGGGTGAGTGTGTTGAATGAAACCTAAGGAACTAAGGTAAGGTGAAAGCGGTTTTACAAGGAACCTGTTCTATGATGCAATTGGAGAACATCTGCGTTACTTACCCGTGTGCACTCATCTGTTGTGATCGTTCGACGGAATTGGCCGCGGATCCGTTTCCTCGTTCATGACATTCTTATTTGTTGACCTTTTGCAGTTAATTTTATTGCCCTTCTGTAGAACAGGTTTCAAGAGAAACCACAGAACTTGAAAGGAATAGCAGAATTAGTAGGCGGAGGGTGATAAGTGCCACGCTTGCCGCTCGCGGCCGTCGACGCCATCGCGATCGCGTGTATAAATTCTGCTAAATACCATCCCGCTCCGGAAGCGTATCTCGCTTCCCCCCACCCTTCCCCCCCCCTGAAAGGCTGAAAATACAAAAAGAGGCAAAGAATGGAATAATATCAAAACGAATACTCGAGTTTAGAGTTCGCGCTTGATCAGAGGTTGGAGCTGGAGCACGCTTTCTGCCTCGGTACTGCGGCTAGCTATTTTGCGGTTTTTGGTTTTTTTATTTTTCAAAATAGGTCAAGGATTCCGGACACACATTTTTTTGAATGAAGCTGAAATGAGGGTCATACAGCGCCATGTCGAGGGAGTACAGAGAGCATAGTGACACTGAAATTGTAATTAGTAGCCGTGAATTTTCAGCTGTGATTTTGTAGCCGTTTAGCCGTTAAGAACTCTCCAGTAAAGAAAAAAAAAGCAAATCATCGCGATCATACTAAGGACCTCCCCTCCCCTGTGACACTGGCGTAGTTTAATTGTGCCAGTTTCCCGGAATTGCTGGCAAATCGACAAGTCTGAGGCCTCTGTGTAACCCCGTTCACAGATCGCTTTTTTTGCATCATCCAACCAGGATTGGTGCCACCAACACAAGAAAAAAAAAGCGAAAAAAGCGTTGGAACAAAACTCGTAGCAAAAAATCGAAAATAGCTGGCGAAAACTTCATGTACGCAATTAGGCTTACGATTAAACACTTCACCGTAGAGCTGTTGCTCTAATGCAATTGCATTCTTAGAGAATTCAACCGGCGCCAGAACGCACGCTGCCTTGCCGTGTGGACAGGTAATATAGTGATTGAGTTTGTACCATCAGAAAAGCTATCCACAGGAAAGAGAACGACCCGTAAGCCAGAAATGGTCAACGCGCTAGCAACCGCCTTGGTGAGCCCATGAAGTCGTCCAACGACGCTGCAGGCAACACTCGCGATATTTAGCGGTGTAGGCCGTTGTCTCGTAGGGTGAAAATGTCAAGTGGTAAAAAGCAAAAGAGTAACCGCCTGTATCTTACATGTCGAGTGACAAAAACGGCACACTCGTACGTGTGCAGACCTAGCTACCCGCGGTGGCATTCGGTCTACCACCTAATCGCGATAAGTGCCTTAGAGGGAATAGGTTCAGGTGACCCGTAAAATCTTCTATCGTCGGTATGATGCGTATTCAGAAGGTCTCTTATCACTGATTGGCCTGAACCGAGCAGAGTCGCCTGGAGAGGAGCGGTTCCTCGAACATACACTTCAAATACCCTGAGCTTCTTCCATAGCTTCGACAAGGGCAGGAAGCTCAAGTCAAGTTACGCTCATTTTTCACGGTGCTAAGGTCCTAGACATCAACAAGAACAGATCAGCGCAACAGCTGTATCATCTAGCGGACCACGAACGTCAGTGGACTTTGTTGAGGTAACTTCATATTTCATTTTTTGATGTAAAAAATGCCACTTCTTATGGGCCATTTCAACGTTCCACTTGCCTGCATAGATCTTCGAGACCACTTAAAACAGTGAGAAAACACAAGTGATATAATCATGCATGGTAAGATGCACTGGCTCAGTTGACAACCAGCCCGGATGACCGAAGCTTTCGAACTGAACCTGTCGTAGCCCGGATGGGAAGCATATCTTATATGGGAGAGATAGCTCTCCCGTTATTGAAAAAATTTGCACGCAAGAGATATGCGTGCAAAAGTGGATTTTCGTGCGCTGACATCTCTACAATTGTCTCTGTAATGACGCTAAACTCTAAGGCACCGTAATACAGTCGAGAGGCTTTGCCATACAGCTGCTCGTTGACCCGCACATAAAACGATCTGGCCGTTTCATCAGCATAATAGCCTCATGTGCTTGATGGGAGATTTCGTGGACCACATCTGCAGCAGCGAAGTTGCCTTCCCTACCAGCAGGACAAACTATGCAGTCCGAGGTTGCTCATGTGCGACGTAGAGGCAGTTTTGAACTAGACAGTGCTTCAAATTTAAGCTTGAGGAAAAACTCTCTCCTTTGATCAATCCCTTCTGCGATGCTGCATGCATTCTGCCTCCAACCGAGATCGTAGTGGCCCATTGTATGCGATGTAGTCTTCCCAGTGACTTGCGGGTGCTAACAGATATGTAAGTAAGTGCTTTTCCAGTCCCAAACAACTCCGTTACCGAGTTACCACTTCCGTAGGGTAGGAGGCATGGTTGGCTATCGGGGAGCCGGAATAGTGAGCCGGAATTCGGTCCTCCAGTTGAGAGAGTAAGGTAGAAATGTCACTCGCCACTAGGACATTTCCGCCCTCGTGTTCCATATTATAGGGGGTGGGAGGGGTGGGAGTCTTCACAATGCAGACATATGACAACACTATGCTGAAGACATGGTCTCCTTCATGAAAGTAATAAGTTACCATTAGACTCCCAACCTAGAATGCCATGCAAACGTGAAAGAGCAGAGAAAGACAGAAAGTCGACGCGATCAAAGGAATTGAGCCCAGATTGTCCGTAGACATCGACCAGGAACTAGACAAAGCAGCTTTATTCCTAAAATATTTTTCAATGGTAAGGGTGCTTCGCATGACTTTAAGAGCTTTGGAAGCAACATAAAAATGAAAAAACAAATGTAAAGTCAAGAAAGTGAACCGAAAAATGTTAGGAAAAATGTATAGCCTGTGCTGAGGAGAATGAGGAGATTTCCAGCACCTTCCAGGCTGTTCCTCTATCAGGCAGGCGATGGGAGGAAGACATGGTGCCTTTGCCTCCGGCTCGACATAAAAACCGGGGTACACCCGGTGAAGAAGAGATTAATTCACAAGTTCAGAAGAGAGGTAGTATCGGTAGTAAAAGGAGTACAGTATCTTGAACTGCTCGTAAAATTGAGTGTGTAGCAGCACCGAGTGCACACAGTACCACTCCATTTCCGTCTGAGCCGACCTGGTTGCAGGTGGAGGGCGGAGTCAGCACTGCTCTGGGAGAGGGGGAGAGGAAAAGAGGTACAGGGAAAGCGGTAGGGCATAACCGTTGTGCAAAGTTATACCGAGGGCTCTTTAGGTAGATGGAAACGAAGGGGAGGGCATCGAGCTACATTATCGAGTAATGAGGCCCATCTCGATGATGTAGCTAAGAGGAACTAGCAGGGATGGAGGAAAAGAGGTCGCAATGAAGAAGATGAGAAAAAGGAATCAGCAGGAGTTGAGGAGTGAAGAAAACTTGCGTCATCGTGACGACATGTCGTCCTGTCATGTCACATGCGTAATCGTTTCTGAGGATGACGATCTGGTCGCGACATTAGGCCAACCAACAGTGAGTTACGAGAGAGAGTCACGCTTAACAACCTTGTTGGAACAAAGGAGAAGCATGAGGTGTTCACAGCAATGCGGAGTTTTTACAAATGGAGGAACTGCAGACAAGCGCAGTCAGTCTCCGACTGATGGCGAAAGCAATGGCTCGCTTTTTCGGCAAGGTCACAATGAGACAGAGCCTTCCATCATCACGAACGGTCATACGAAACACGTCCACCCCTAGCTGCACTTAATCTGCACCCGAAAATTTTACAATACAAACATGAACTGAGAAGATCTTCTGAAACTGGCCACGGCAGATCTGGACGTATTTACGTCAAACAAGGGATTCTTAAGCCTAGTAAATCCGTAATACGCGTGAAAGTGAAACAGTCCACATTCAAGTTCTACGTCAAATACCGCTGCTATTGCACAGAGAGATATTCGATGTTGTGGATCGCACAACTTGAAGGATAATAGAGACGCGCCGCTCACCGATTTCCCACTGACCACAGAAATATGGACGTCAATTGCACTCAAAGAACGCTCGACAGTTCGGGTGTTGTGCAAAAGTGCACGAAGTGAGTACGTAGACAGACCGATAGATTGTTGGACATATTTGGCCGAAAAATGCCAGTCGTTTTCAAAATCGGTTTTAACGGCCAATTGACGTGCAAAGGCTCACCCCATTCAAAGGCACATTCCGCCATTATTCAATGGAAACGGTCCGCAATGAGGCATGAAAATATAAAACATTGCTTGAAAAGGGTAGTGAGGTCCGCACTAAGCCATATGACAACAATTTGAGGGAAACTTGTAAGGAAAGCCGCTAAGGTGTCAAGTTGCTCCAGTGATAATTCGCTTTTTTCAGCGACCCCGCCTTCAGACTCCGCCTTCGCGTCGCAGTGAAAGAGGTGCTGCCGGACAAATAGTCGGAAATGGAGGCTTTAGAGTCTCTCAGGAGATCATAGGGCTCATTATAAGGGATCGGCTTCAAGGAATCTTAAACTCGTCGGCAAGGTCCTTTTGAAGGCTTGAGGAGATTCTCTTCTGCATTTTCTCGTCGAAGTGGTGTCCCTAGGTAACTCCTATTTCATATTTCAACTCAGCGTTCCTTACCGCAGACCGTGCCCGTATAGTAGTAGAGCCTTGTTGGGGAAAAGTGGTACAGTATGTGACAAGCCAATCGTAGTCAGGGCCTTACGTTGGGGATGCCCAGCGAGGGGGCGATGAAGAGTAGAGGGCCGAAGGCCAACGATGGGGATGAAAGAGCAACATCCACTAAAATTGTAAATCGATGTAGACTGCATGACCGGATACCACAGTGCTGGGCTTGCCACATCTCTCGGGAGCATGAGCAGAGGAGCACGGTATGGCATGGGTATCGGCAAAGTTGATGTGGAACTAAAGACCACAGTGGGTAACTCCCTATGAAATCATCATGTTTGTCAAATAAAACACCAAATACTGGCCTTGGTGGGGCCTAATTTCGACTGTATATCCCATAAACCATTGGCCCACAATGTAGCTGGTACGGGCCACCTCGC